AAATAGTGGGACTTGAGGATTGAGGTTGACTTCTTATGGAAAAGAAATCCAAAGTTATATCATTTGTGATTGGAGTCCTTAGAGCTATACCTATAGGACTCCCTGAATTTTTGGAAATTTTGAATATGTTGTATCTGACTACTCTAATTTTACAAAAAGTCATCTTGCTAGGAACTGCTTATATCCTTAGGCACTACTTTTAGGTCCTTGGTTGGACTTAAAGTTTTCACCAGACTAATAGTAATAAAAATAATAATACTTTTTGCCTTCTCAATTAACTGATGATTTACTTTAACCATGAAGCACCATTAAATAATACTATGAAACTTTGCTGTTGCACATAAGAATTCACTATTCTTAATGTTCAATCCCTGTATTCTAGCTCCAAAGCTTGTAAACTTCTATACAAATTTTGTCAAACCCTGAATTCCACATATAGAAAGTACTTATAAGAAGAATGTTAAAAATCACTTTTCCCCACTGTAATATAATGCTCATCATCTACACTAAGACAAAATAATTTATATTTTCTATAAGTGATATGTCCACTACTACACTTAAAAATGTATGGTGCCATCATAAAACAGATTAAATTATTGAAACATCCTGAGACTTCCCTTTTAGTGGCAAATTCAATGACGAACAATCTTACAAGCACATCAATAAAACAGAGTTTAATCGTATTTGTATAATCTGATTCCATGTTTTCACTGTAGTGACATAAAATTGTCTACTGGTGTATATTAGGATATTACATATCAGAAATGCAACTTGACATAAAATGTATCTATTCCACTTAGACAGCAGCAGCAAAATATAAATTTTATGAAGAACCGCCTAAAAAATACTGTATAAGAAATGTGCTTTCGGAATCAACATCCCGGAATTATCAGACAAGGGTGACATTCATGAAAGGCCAAAGCCCTACATGCACCTTTTTTTTTTTTTAATTTTGTGAGATGAAACACAGACAACGGCATCTTGGCAACAGTAAAGATATACAATGCAAAATTTATGAGTCATCTAACCTATTAAGCTCAAGTCTATAAATACTGACATTCCTTTGTAACTATTGAATTTGAGTTTCTAAGAATTTTATTTGGTGTGTCCCTGTGTGTACCCAAACCTTTGTGAAAACAAAGTCCTATAGGTGGTATTACCATTTAAATTATTGGCTTAATTTGCTTTTAAGGGCTTTGGCTTCCCTGACCTTCCGAGACATCTTTTTATCCTCTTATCCAGATGGTGTAAGGCAGTAGTTCTCTAAGTATATTTTAGTGAACCCTGGGGGTCCCTAAGACCCTTTCAGGGCTATGCAAATTCTAATAAATTATTACATGCACACGCTAAAAAAGTACTTTAATAGATATAAATAACATGAATCAATAGCAATAGCAATAGCAGTTAGACTTATATACCGCTTCATAGGGCTTTCAGCCCTCTCTAAGCGGTTTACAGAGTCAGCATATTGCCCTCATAGTCTGGGTCCTCATTTTACCCACCTCGGAAGGATGGAAGGCTGAGTCAACCTTGAGCCGGTGAGATTTGAACCGCTGAACTGCAGATAGCAGTCAGCTGAAGTGGCCTGCAGTACTGCACTCTAACCACTGTGCCACCTCGGCTCTATAATATTCAAAGCTCTTTGGGGAGCTCCATCATTTTTAGGAAGGTAAAGGAGCCTTGGAACCAAAATCTTTGAAAATATTGATTAAGAAATAACTGTGGAAACATTTGATTTCATTGGTTTTTGCTAAACTTTCATCAGAAATGAAACATCCAATTGATTTCCCCAAAGACTTTGTTTTGCTCCAGCTATAACGTTCATAGCCTTCATCATTAGACCCTTTCTGGCATATCTCTATCTTTGCCCATTACATGAAAGAGCTTTCATCTTAGCCAAATATAATATGCTATTATCTGCAATTCTCAAAGTGGCAAAAATCTGACTTCATTTTAATTAGGTACTGCATTGAAATTAAAACCCTTTTCTTCTTTATTTTAATGACTCAAATCTGTTGCTTTTAAGCATATGATTATATACTAGGAAAGGATGGAAATATTATGCAAATCCTAAAGACATTTGGCAAAAAGCACCTCCACAGTGCTGAGATTAGGAACTACTTTCTTGGCATAGCTGGTTATGTAAGGATGGGTAATGCTTAAAACAACTATTTATGATATTAAGGCAGGTGATCCAAAATATTATTTGACTACACTTTGGAAGTTTACAGTTTCATTTCCTCAGGGAGAACAGGTGCCACACAGGTCTTTAAAGGAAAGGTTGGACTTCTATTACCTCATTCATAATGCAAGAACTGCATGCTAGAGAAGGAAATACAAGCCTGCCTTTTTTTCTCATTGTTTATACAACAAAAAGGTCTAGAGGCTGTCTCAATTATGTCATATCTGAAACCAAAGGTGACGGTCACCTGTTGTAAGTGTGAAAAACGATCGTAAGTCACTTTTTTCAATTCACTTTTTCTGCTACGGTATAGCCTGGCGAGCCTACAAGCACTGGCATCATGCTGAGGATCCCAATTCCAGACAAACTGTCTAATTAAAATGGCCATTCCCAACAAGAAAGAAAAAATCTTAAACACAAATGGAACAAAAAACAAACTAATTCAAACAGCCAAGATATCTTTTTTCAACCAAATCTTTTAGAATAACTCTGCTATTCAATCATATTTCCTGCCTTTGAAACTTAAAGAGTTTTTACCCTCAAAGGATAAACAGTGGGGCGCCTTTAGAAGGCTCTGAAAACGTATTTATTAAATTTTGACCATTGTGCGGATTCACTGTTAATATTTAATCTCAGTTGCTTATTTGAAGCCTTGCAGGTTTCTTTTTAAACATTTAGAAAGATTTCTTTAAAATTATTGGCTTTAAATTGATGCCTTCTTTTTCAGCTATGTGAATTTACTTTTTTCCATTATAATCACCAGCTATAGAAAATATATAATTTGTTAACATTGACTTTGATGTTTTAAATATTTCTGCTGCCTACCCTTCCTTTTCCTTTTCTTCCTTTGTATCATAACTGAGTTCAATTTGTAGTAGGCTACAGTTCTTGTATAACAACCCTAATTAAGACTAGCAATTCTGATACTAAGCAAAGAGGTCCTAAATGGGAAATTACATGACTGCAATTCTGCTTTCCGCCTAGAAAGAGTCACGACTATAGGTAGTCGAGTTAGGATGGCAACTGGGATACAAGGAGTGCCATGACTTGTTTAGTGGGGCAATCTTCGCAGTAGTTAAGCACAGTTTGTGGATCATTTAGCAAGTATCTCCTTACAACTTCATTACATTTTCAACAACCAAAATCAGTGGGGAAGGTAGCAGGAATTTTCAAGCCCCAGGTGATTTACAAAAAGGTCAGCAGGCAGTGCATGAGCAGAGTGGGGTTTGGGACCCCGAGGTTATATGGGCTGCTGGGAATGTGTAGCACAAATGCAGTGAGACTTGGGAAGTGTGCGCAAGGATACGTGAGTGATGGGGGAGTTATGGCATGAACACAGCTTAAAGCGACTATTGCTGGGTGATCTGGAGGCATGGTCCAAGCACAATGAGGCTCAGAGAGGATGTGTGAGTGTATGTCACTATCCAGTGAAGTACTGCAGAAATGCTAGGAAAGGGTATGCAGATGGGAAAGACTTACCAAAGCAAGTTGTGAGTTTCCCTACTGGTATCCCCATTGACTTTGCTTATGGGAAGCCCAGAGGAAAGGTCACAAATCACAGTCACTAGACCATGGGATGGTGCAATTGTAAGTGTGAGCCAACTGTTCTCTGGAAGTGCACCTTTAAGGACTAGTCATAACCACTTCTTGTTCTGCACTGTAGAAACTTCAAACAGTCGCTGACCAACTGATCATTTACAGAGGATTACAAGTAGTCAGTTTCACACCTTTCACTTTTGCTTACATCCTAATCGATTTCCCACCCTTTGGAATGCTTGAGTTGAAGGAGTTCCCCTCCAGTTTGTGAAGAATTGCAATAAGAGGTAAAGGAAGATGTAATCACAATAGAAAAAAAAACGAAAAAAAAAAAAAAAACAGAACAGAGCTTAGATAAGCAACATGTCTGTATCTAACCCTTCCTCTTCCCTTGGTGCAAACACAATGATTCTGTGTATAACAGGGTTCCTCAATCCCCAAGCTGCAGCCCAACAGTGATCATGCTCATGCACGCAACTCTACTTACACAAATAACAGGCACATATGCTTGTGCAAATGGGTGCCTGCTCTTTATACGAAACCATCAGTACTCTTCCGTTCCCGCTGCTCCTTCCGTCACTGGTCCACAAAACCAGAAAGGTTGGGGACCGCTGGTGTATAATGACTCTGAAATAACACCATGTGAAGATATTCTAGGGAAAATTTAGAGGAAAGGATCAATTAAAAGAGACAATTGTTATACAAAACTATTAAAACAAATTTGTTTT